GGTTTTAAAAGGAGTTCCTTATCTTTTAGAGTTTCATAGTGAAGTATTTATGGATAAGAATATTTAAAGTTAGAAAAAGAAAATCAGAATAGATTCGAACAAGGAAGGAAATAATAAATACTGGAGCAGAAGTGTAATAAATGCAAAGGAAGAAGGAAGCCCTCAAGATGAGAACAGAGGTGCATGAAACAACTGAGAGAGTCACCAAAGCTGGAAAGCAGATTTTTTGGAAAAGCCTGGTAAAATGGACTGATCTCTAGTTAAGATTGATTTGGAGAAGAAAAGAAAATATGCAAGAAGATAAAATATTATGACATATTACTGGGAATAAGAGGGAGGATATTCCTGCAGATAGAGCAGAGGGTTAGACATCATCAGAGTCAACCATGAATAATATGCCAATAAATGTAAAAGCTTAAATGAAAATTTCCAACAAAAACAGAATCAAGAAGTAGAAAACCTGAATGCAGCTATAACCAAAAAGAAGGCCTAAACTCATAGAAAAATAAACTGCATTCATTGATATGAACACGCAGTATAAAAGTATCATCACTTCTCCTTAAATTGATATATAAATCCCCAAAAGAGTTTTTTTGTAGAACTTTTATTATAAGCTAATCTTAAAATCCCTATGGAAGAGCGCGATCGAAGGTACACATACCTTATCTACAACCCAGACATCCATTTCTTAGATATGTAGAGATTCCCATTGCTATGCAGGATGTATTTAGAACTGATTACTGAAAACAGTACACATAGCAATACTTGCTGAATGCAGTTAGAGTGGTACTTAGAGGCAGTAACAAGAACATTCATTGCATGGTAGTTTTTAATAGAAAAAAACTAGAAGTAGTCTAGATGTCTATCAAGTAGGAGAAGGGAACAAATAAGTTATTAAGCTGTTGAAGTGTATAGTAAGATACTACTTACATGAAGTATAAAAACATGCAGAATAATGCTGTGTATTGCTTATGGATATACACACATGTAATTACATAAAACATGTATGGGGCTGATAAACTGCAAACTTAGGATGGTCATTACTGTTGAGGCTGGGAAGAAAGAAAGAGGGTAAAGAGAAGGTCAGACAGGCTTCAGCTATATCCGTGACATTATATTTCTTTCGAAAAAATACTTATGTTAAATGAATCAACCATGTTGATAAAAACCATTCATCTCTTGTAGGTCTCTTCCAGTCGACCAGACCTTTCTGGCTTTGACGAAGACGATAAGGTGTGTCCACGTGAGCATGGCTAGGGCCCTGGTGTAATCTAAGCCTGGGAAGTCAGGGGTCATGACGTTTTTAAAATCTCTGGACTTACCATCTTAATTTTTGGCAAATCATTCCCTCCACAGCTCCATTTCCGAGTGAAAATACTCGCTTTGGTATCACTCTGCGATCTTAGCGTTACAGCGTTACTTTAGCATTCTGTACACTCCTAATGGAATAAATATCTGTCTTTATGGTCTAACTCAGACAACGTTGTAAGTTGTTACATTCACCACAGCAAAATCAAAATTAACCCAACTGGATAAAATTAGGGATTTAAAATTAAGGGCGGTTTGCAACATCGTCGTATTCAGCAAATACTTCTTGAACACAGATTATATCTAAGTTACTATGCTTAGGACTGTGGATGATTCAAAAGGAATAAATGCAGATTATGTCCTCAAGAAGTTTAAAATCTAGTCCTTAGAGGCAGCCAACTCCTGAGACGTTGAAGGAAGATTAAAGAAGCTTGTGTATATACAAGAGGCGTTTCCTGGCTTTAGGACCCCAGTACTTTATGCCTGTTTGAAACTTCTAAATCTGAAATATACGTGGTGTGAACACACCACCTCATTTGCCTGGGCCACTCCCGGCTTATGTCTGCTACCCAGGCAAAGTTATTAATAGAACTGTTTCATTCTCAAAAGTGTTTCCGTTTGGTCTTTATCTAGTCACCCTAGATAGATACCAGATTCATTAAAGTGGCTGCATCTGGCGAGGGAGGATGATGAGTGGAATCATGTAGGGTACAAAAGAGGATTTCACTATATTTGTAATGATTTTATTAAATCTTCAGCAAATACAATAAAATACTAACATTTACTCATACCTTGGGTAGGATAGTGTTTGTTTTATTCAGTACTTTTCTATGTGTTTGAAATGCATGATAAAAATAGACTAGGGCACACACCTTCATTAAAAAAATTAGAAGAAACTCAAATCTATGCTTCGTTTCTCATTTAAGAGGGATGTAATTACAGTGAACCCATGTTTTCACCTTGTAGGGTTGGCCAGAGAACCAGTTAGACATGTCTGACTACAGCTCCAGTTACCAGGATGTTGCGTGTTATGGAACTTTACCCAGGGATTCACCTCGAAGGAGTAAAGAAGGTAATGGTGAGATCACTGTCAGTGATATTTCTTTAGAAGTACTTAGGAAACGCACGGCAAAGAGAGTCTTTCAGGGTGGCGTATAAGGTATGAAGCTGAAGTTCTAATCAGCTTGAAGATCCAACTGCCTTCTTGAGCAGAACACGTCATGTTCTCTTACTTGATTTCTTTTTGCTTTTTTCCCATTGCGCATCCAGATATAAATAGTAGGTTTTTTGTATAACACTTTAGAATTTTCAAATCATTTTTCATTCATTTCATGAGTTTGAAGTCAGTTTTGAGACACAAGCAAATCTTATTACATTATAGTTAGACTTCATTCTTTAACCCAAAGAATTTATACCTCTATCATGTTTTTTACCTAAAGTAAAGGATTTTTTAGGAGACCATGTCATTGTTTTCCTAAAGCAGTTTCAACAATGAGATCAGACATTAGTTTAACCAGCGGCAGTGTCATTGCTTACGTATATAGTTTCCCAGTGCCTTGAAAGAACAGTCTTCTCTGAATATATAAATTAGCTCAGTGACCTTACACCTCATATTTTACCTTCTAAGTGCCATTTTACCAATGAACTGGGAAGAACATACAGAATGGGGAAGAGAGGCCAGAAAAAGTAAGAAATGAGTAAAAGCAGGCAAGAAGAATTGTCCTTCCTTAGTCAAATAGAGCACGGTGGCTTGAGGAAAAGAGAGGCTTGTAAGAAAATTTGTATATTCAAGCCTCTGCTATGCCATATGCCGTGAAAGGTACGAGAGTGCCATCCTAGATCTTAAAATCTAATTGTGGAAATAAGATACATAGAAAGTAACTTATGAAATGATTAAGTGCCAAAATACATGTACAGATAATAAGGGCTCTGAGAATTCAGAGAAATGGCAAATCAGCCTGCAATAAAACGGTCTGGTAAGTGGCGTTCAGGTTGTATCTTGAAAACCAAAAAACCAAACCCACTGCCGTCAAGTCAATTCCGACTCATAGCAACCCTGTAGGATAGTAGAACTGCCCCCATAGGGTTTCCAAGGCTGTAATCTTTCCAGAAGCAGACGGCCACATCTTTTTCCCATGGAGCAGCTGGTGGGTTTGAACCATCAACCTTTTGGTTAGCAGCTGAGCGCTTAACCACTGTGCCAGCAGTGCTCCTTGTATTTTGAAAAGAGGGTGGAAAATTGGATTTCTGATTTTTTTTTTTCCAGGCTGACCAGCACTTTAGTTACTTTTTGTGACTTTATAGGTTTATCTGTATTCTTTTTGATTTTTTTAATTGTGGTAGAATATACACAACATATTATTTGCCACATTAACCATTTCAAGTGTACAATCCAGTGGCATTAATCATACTCATCACCACTATTTGTTTTGAAAACTTTTTTATCACCCCAGACAGAAACTCTGCACCTCTTCGGTAATAACTTCCCACTCCCCCCACCAGCCCCTGAAAACCACGGATCTACTTTCTATCTCTGTGCGTTTGTCTGTTCTAGATATTTCATGTAAGTGTATCACACAGCGTGTGTCTCTTTATGTCTGACGTATCTCACCTTAGCATAATATTTTCATGGTTCACCCATTGCCGTAACATGTATCAGAACTTCGTTTCTCTTTATGGCTGAATAATATTCCATTGTACAAATGTACCACGTTTTTGTTTATCCATTTATCTGTTGGTGGGCACTGGGGTTGTTTTCACCTTTGGGCTCTGATGAATAGAGCTGCCATAAACATTGGTGTACAAGTATCTGTTTGAGCCCTGTTTTCTATTCTTCGGGGTATGTTAGGGATTGAATTGTGTCCTTTCCCAAATGTGTGTCAACTTGGCTAGGCCATGATTCCCAGTATCGTGTGATTGTCCACCATTTTGTCATCCGATGTGATTCTCCTATGTGTTGTAAATCCTGCCTATGTGATGTTAATGAGGCAGGATTAGAAGCAGTTATGTTAATGAGGCAGGACTCAGTCTACAAGATTAGATTGTTTCTTGAGTGAATCTCTTGAGATATAAAAGAGAGAAGCCAGCACAGAGACAGGGGGACCTCGTACCACCAAGAAGGCAGCACCCAGAGCAGAGCGTATCTTTTGGACCTGGGGTTCCTGTGCTGAGAAGCTCCTAGACCAGGGGAAGATTGATGACAAGGACCTTCCCCCAGAGCTGAGAGAGAGAGAAAGCTTTCCCCCAGAGCTGGCACCCTGAATTTGGACTTCTAGCCTCCTAAGCCATGAGAGAATAAATCTGTGTTTGTTACAGCCATCCACTTGTGGTATTTCTGTTATTGCAGCACTAGATGACTTCGACAGGGTTTCTTCCCAGACTTCTCTCTGTTCTTGTCTGCATCTGTTTGAATGTGTAGCCAAATATCAGCATCTTGATTTCTTTGTTACATTAAATATTCCTGTGGCAGGTTCAGTGCTCTGCACCTGTAAACTCTGGCTTTTTGTCTTCCCCAGGTTGCACGCCCGAGAATCCTCACGCCTTAATGGTCAGCCCCTTTAAAGCATTCTCTCCTCAGCCGCCAAAGTTTTTCAAACCCCTAATGCCTGTGAAAGAGGAGCAGAAGAAAAGGACAGCTCTCGAAACGAGGCCTCTTCTGAGCCAGGAGGTAAACGCTTGACCCGTCTGTACTGTGCAGAACAGACAGGCACGGTGTTGCCTGCAGAGAAGTAGCAGTTGGAATTAACTAACAAATCGGATGATGCATGTGGACGTATGTGGATTATCACTCCATGAATCCTGTTCTGAAATGCCTCTTTCTTAAGCACACAGGATTGTGGTAGAATTTTTTTTTTTTGGTCATGATTGTGGGGTTTTTTTTTCTTTATGTGAATACCTTTTTCAAGATAGTTTTATCTTTCAAGTGAGAAAGAGATGTTTCTTGGACATTCGGAAAACATTAGAGGCTTTTATTTTTTTAATTTGACGAAGCCCATTGTGCTTTTTGCCACTGAAGCTCGTGTAGGCTTGTCAGATATCATCAGGGGTTTGACTCCGGCCTGCACCACTCACCTGTAATAAAAGTGTTGGCACTGCTTTTCTAACTTGCATGTACTTAGTATGTATTCTCGCTGTTGTCATCCTCTGTGTGTGATGCATCTGTGTGTGTCTTAACCTTTGCAGAGCATGTCTCCATCTCAGCCACATACCCCTGGCTGCATTGTACCCTCGGGAAGCAATGGCAGCAGCATGCCAGTAGAACACAATAGCAAACGCGAGAAGAAGATTGTAAGTTCTGGAACCGTTTCTGTCGTTATTGCCTGGTGGTGGGTTAAGGCCCTTTCACAGACAGTCATCCAAACACTTTCAAAGAAATTCAGTTGTGC